GAGGATTGTCAAAAGCAACCACAACAACCCACACCCACTGATGAAGGTTCTGAGTCTGAATCTGAAACTGAATCGGGTGATTCAGAGGATTTCGAGAGTGCGAAAGCCTCTATGCGACCCTCTGAAAGCTCTGATCAAGAATTGGAGGAACCATTGTTCACAATAGGTCGTTTTTCTCCTAAGAAGGAAGAGGAGAGTGTTGAAGACTTAAGGCTAATTCGTAGGTCACAGAGAGCCACAAAAGGCAAACCTCCAAAGAGATTTGCTGATGAGTTTGCTACGATAGCAGTAACAGCTGTTAAAAGCTCCAAGAAGGTATTTGAACCTTCAAGTTTCCAAGAAATCCAGGGTTTGGATTCAAAGGAAGCTGAGCCATGGTTAAATGCCATGAAGGCTGAGCTTGATTCCTTAGAAAGGAACAAAACATGGGAGCTAGTTCCAGTAGTTCCAGGAATGAAACTGCTTGGAAGCAAATGGGTCTTCAAGCGAAGACAGATCAAAATGGCAAGATAGTCAGACACAAAGCCAGATTGGTAGCCAGAGGTTTTGCACAGGTACCAGGTGAAGACTATCACGAGACCTATTCACCCACAGTGAGATATGAAAGCATTAGGCTTATGCTTAAGCTAGCTGCAGAAGAAAATCTACACATTAGTCACCATGATATTAATACAGCTTTTCTGTACGGATCTCTAGATGAATCACTTTATATGCTTCCACCTGATGGCGTACAGGTAAAACAGGGATTTGTTTGTGCTCTGAAAAAATCCCTTTATGGTCTCAAACAAAGTGCACGGTGTTGGCACACAAAACTCACTGAAGTATTGTTTTCTCTAGGTTTTCAGCAAGGGAAAGCTGATCCATGTGTATTTGTCAAAGAGGAGGGGCAAAAGAAACTGTACTGTTTGTTTTATGTTGATGATTTATTATTCTTTTGGAAAGATGTTGCAATGTACAATAGCGCCCTAGCTCAACTGAAAGAGCACTTTGACATGAAAGATCTTGGTGAGGTAAACAACTACCTATCTCTGGAAATAGAGAAAGATCAAGATGGTAACATTCTAGTACACCAGTCACGGAAAATTGCTGATGTGTTAAGCAAACTAAATCTGATGGATGCTAACCCTGTAGACACACCGATGACAACAGGTTATCAGGTAGATGACACTGAAGAAGCATTTTCTGACACTACACTGTACAGAAGTGTGCTAGGCAAGCTAAACTTCATTGCCAGATGTTCAAGACCAGACATTGCTGTTAGCTGTAATTTGCTAAGCAGACAAGTCAACAATCCTAGTGTCAAGGATTGGAAAGCTCTGAAACGCATAGCGCGGTATTTGAAAGGCACTATGCATTACAGACTGAGATTTAACAATCAGAAGTCTGGTGGTCTTGAGATATTTGCAGATGCAAGTTTTGGAAGTGACACTACAGACAGGAAAAGTACGTCTGGAGTTTGCTACATGTACAATCAGAGTCTGTTTGATTGGTCATGCAAGAAGCAAACAACAGTTAGCTTAAGTACTTGTGAAGCTCGAACTGAATGCACTGTCTTATTCACTTAAGGATTGTGAATGGTTAGTACAATTGTGCAAAGATATGAAAATTCCTGTCAAATGTCCAATCCAGGTTTACCAGGACAACAAAGCATGTTTGGCTTTGCTGAAGTCTGAAGGTTGTAAGCAAAGCACAAAGCACTTACAATTAAAGTTGCAGCATGCTAGGGAATGTATTCAGAAGGGACTCGTAACGGTGTCCTATATACCAGGTAATGAAATACCTGCTGATGTATTGTCCAAGATTGTATCAAGGGATCAACACTGTACCTATGTGCAGAAGTTGGGTTTGTACTGATATTGTGCAAACACGCTGCCCAGTGATGTTCACAGAAAGGGGGAGGATGTTGGTTTCTGCTTTCCTTCACTGTGCAGCTCTGCTTGTCATGAGACAAGTGTTTACATTCCACAGTTTGTACTGTTGGAGTTTCTCACGGGAAAGGGAGACTGGATGTGACGTACACTGGTTTCCTGTTTTTTCTCTGTGTGATTCTCTCCAAGCTGTCGAGGAGAGAGGATGCATTTTTCTGCTCCTGCAGACGCAAGATGTCTTTCTGTAATATACCAGCTTTGAACTGTAAATAAAGCAACATAGAGTATGTAACACATTTTCCTCATCCTTCCGCTGGGCACCAAGGCTCTGCTTTAAATCAACAGTGTACAGAATTACAATAGACCCTCCTTTACTAACTGCAGAAGAGCAATGCCTCAGTAGCACTAAAAGGCCCCAGGGTGTAAAGAATAATAGGAACAAGGAGGAAAGTGAAATAATACAGGATTGCATTCAATTTTGGTTCTACTCAGAACAGATCCGTTGAAGTTAATGAACCTGACTAACTTACTTTCATTAATTTCACTAGGTCTCCTCTAATCAGAACTAACATGAGCTACAACCCACCATCTTTCATGACAAATTCTGAGAGACAAGGGAAACCCCCTCATATTCAGAGCTGTTGGGAATTTTAAAAGATCCCAGGGGAGAGGGAGCAGAGTGATAACATCCTGAAACTTCCTTTGATAATCTCTGATAATGACATCAGAGGCCTCGTTTGCCAAGGGCGGTGTTCTGCTGCATACTTACCATGATTGCAGCCAAGATACTTTTTTTATCGCTGAGCACTGACATATAGTTTGGCTTTAATTTTAAAAATAAAATAAAAAAATGGGGCAGGGGTTAAGAGACAGATATGGGATGAAAATAAAAACTGGAGAAGGATACTTAAGACTCATGGAACACTGTAGTAAAGGCAATAGACAAGTGTTGGATATTCTCATTTGTGCTAGTCCAGGAACCTTGAAACCAAGCAGGAAGGCTCATACAGATGCCCTTTGGGCTCTAAAGGACTTTTCACACATGGCCTACAATGTGTGCATGTGCCGAGTCTGTAATTTAAAACCTAGCTGTTGTACATTGGTGAGAATGTACATGTGACAAGGAGGGAAATATCGTAGTCATTTCTTACATTTCAATCCATCCTCCCATCTAGGAGCTCAGGACAGCATAGGGTTCTTTTGTCCCCTACCTCCCTGCTTTTGAATCTCACAACAACCCTGTGAGGTAGGCCATGCTATAAGAAAGAGTGATGCCCTGGTTATGATTTGAATAGGATCAAGGGGTGCACACACACACACACACACACACACACACACAACATTCAGTCATGAAGTTCACAACGACACCTTACACTTTTAAGTGCTAGAACACACTCTTCTGTGGAATTCTTGTGTTTCTATACCACCTTAAGCATATGCATAAGTGGTCAAAAAAAGCATGAAAAAGGCAATGGGCAAGAAATGTGCTTGTTTAAAATGATAGCTTCTCCCAAATGTAATACAGTCATATCTCGGTTCCCAAACACCTTGGGAATTGAACATTCTGGCTGGAAGTGAGTGTTCTGGTTTTTTAACATTCTTTTGGAAGCCAAATGTCTGGCGGGGCTTCCACGGCTTCCGATTGGCTGCAGGAGTTTCCTGCAGCCAATCAGAAGCCATGCTTTGGTTTCTGAACATTTTGAAAGTCGAACGGTCTTCCGGAATGGATTCTGTTCAACTTCCGCGGTACAACTATACATGCTTTTAGCCTTCATTTATTGCATTACATCTAGGAGAAGCTATCATTTCAAGCAAGAACATTTCTTGCCCAGTGAGCTTCATGGCTCAAGGGGGATTATGAACCCTGGTCTCCCAAGTCTTAGTCTGGCACTCTAACCTCCACACTACACTGGTCTTTTGTTTCTATGTGACCACTGCTCTCTTTTCCTTACAGCAAGGAAGTGGGGGTGGCTGTACTTCTGAAAGAAAACTCCTTACCAGACATTGTACTGGAGTTGTACTATCCAGCCTGGAAGGGAAAGTTACAAAATGGCCAACCTCTGTCCTTACTTTGTAGAAGCGGTGACTGTGAGGTGGAGATGCTCTGTAGTACGACCACAATGGATAGAAGGGTTGTTGTTTTTTTTGCAAACAAACTTTTCCAAACATGATTCTCTTCTGTTATTAAAAGGGACCAAAAGGAAAAGTTATCAGTGGATCTTTATGGCTCTATTGTCATTCCAGCTCATCTCTCTTGTCCCAGCTAACCCTCCCCACCAAAGTAAACTTTCACCACATAGACACGGAGGGTGGGTCTGTAAGCAAGCACCTAAAAATAGAGTGCTGCATTTTAAACCTTATCTGATTCACTAGGCAAATGAGAACCAGAAAGACATCAGACATTTTCTGCATAGGACACCTACACTTATAATATACTCCCAACAGTTTTCCAGCTGTTCATGCCGGCGTACAGCTTCTGGGTCACGTGGCCAGCATGACTAAGCAGCTTCTGGTGAACCAGAGCAGAGCACGGAAACGCCGTTTACCTTCCCACCGGAGCGGTACCTATTTATCTACTTGCACTTTGACGTGCTTTCAAACTGCTAGGGACCGAGCAACGGGAGCTCACCCCGTCGCTGGGATTCAAACCGCTGACCTTCTGATCGGCAAGCCCTAGGCTCTGTGGTTTAACCCACAGCGCCACCCGTGTCCCTAGTAAATAAATACATACGATAAAATGTACCACTGAGCGACAGCCCTTCCTTGTAGTGCCATACAAAGCTTGGTACGCACAACAAAACTGGCTGAAGACACCAAATCAAGATGCCTAATCTCATCAGAACTACAAGGAACAGCAGCATCCAGCCAGGCCCTTGTGAGTATGACCTTAGTGCAGGACAGCACCCCAAGATTACTGCATACTCAGTCGCCCCTGTTGCAGGTCTCGGGCCATATGCTGACAGCCTGTGGTCAAGATAAAAGAATGAAAGGAGGCGGCATGAGCAACAGATCCCCTGATAGGAACATAGGAAGATGCCTTGTACCGAGGCAGACCATTGGTCCATCTAGCTCAGTATTGTCTACACTGATTGGCTGTGGCTTTGCAGGATTTCAGGCAGGGGACATTCTTATCTGAGATGCCAGGGATTGAACTTGGGACCTTCGGCTGGCAAGGCCGATGCTCTGCCACTGAGCTATGGCCTGTGTCCATCTTTGAATTGCATGATGCATCTGTCACCCTTTCTTCCTCCATTCCTCTCCTCATCACTCTAGACTGGCCACCCTAGACTGGCCATCCCGACAATGTCTTCTTCTTCTTTGGCGATTACTCAGCTGAGTAAGATTGTCTTTCATGAACACAATCTTAACAGTGAGCCCGTAAGTGACTGTGGAGGACAATTCTGGATCCACATGTCCTTCCACAGTGGGGACATTGATTTCAGGGTGGGAGTTGATCACAGTGAGGGTTTGCCAAAAGTGTCTTCCTCTTAGCTCGTTTCTCCTTTTCACCCTGAGTTTGTGCTTCTTCGAAGTCCATGACACCTTTGGTAAAGGCTGTTCTCCAACTGGAGCATTCACAGACCAGTGCTTCCCAGTTATCAGTACTTATACTACTTTTTAAAAGATTTGCCTTGAGAGCATCTTTAAACCTTTTGTTGATCACTAGTATTTTGCTTTCCATTCTTAAGTTGGGAATAGAGTAGCTGCTTTGGAAGATGATAATCAGGCATCCACACAACATGACCAGTCCAAAGAAGTTGATGTTGAAGAATCATTGCTTCAACACTGGTGATCTCTGCTTCTTCCAGTCCTGATAGCGTACCTATGTCTTGTAACTGTACCCCTGCAGAGTGCATGATAATGTGTGAGTGTGTTAATGCGCATGTGTGTGTTAAGGTTTTCCCATGTAAGAATCCCACTATTTTTGATGTTGCTGTTCCTTTGTTTTTAAATTTGGGTTTTATATATATCCGTGCTACATATTTAGCACTCTTTTCTAAAAAAATTTAGTCAGAGTTGGATATGCTTTTTGCCATTCTCCCCCAAATTCTGCCAATATCAAAAACTGAAACCCAAAACTATATTCTGTATTCTGTATGCTTTATACAATTGTGATAAAGTCCATTCTCCTAACTAATAATATAAAACAAAACAAAACAAAAGGTTGTCTTTCTGCTCCTCCCTGCGTAAACAGAAAGGCAACACAGTGTTACCCAAAGATAGGAAGAAATTATGCTTGTGTTTGATGATATTGCATCCTCTCTGACTTTTCCCACTGGTCTGTGCTCTGGGAAAAAGAAATATTTCGTTGAACAAAGGGTTTTCTAGTTTGAGATGAATATAAGGATTGGAATGCGCACTGTGCCCCTTTGACACACAGGCAAATTCCTGTCATCATTTGCACATGGTATCTTGCAGCTTTCTGCCTTGGATGTTCCAGCTATAGGTGTGGCTAGAGGGTGTGGCAGTATCTGTTGACTCTATTGGCCAATTTGTTTTCCCTGTCATTCAAACTGACTACTCCTTGTAAGGGTATCTGTGATCCAGCTATGGTAACTAAAAATAGAATTTGCTCTAAAAATAGAATTTGCTCTCCATATTTGTTATGCAGCTAGGAGAGCACTGTACATGCTGAAATGCATGTGGGGTAGCAAATCCCCATTGCCAAGCTAGGCGTGGGTGAAGGGAGTGGCTTGTTCACTGGAGGAAATAAGGAATTCTAAACAGAGACTCCAGCATGAAACTGCTGAATTAGAACTCATCAAGAAACTTAGATTACATGCATTTGGGCATGAATAGAGACAATGGTTTCCTATACCACTATGATTATTTTGTGTACACTTTATCTTTAATTTCATTATCTGTATTTTTTGTTTTCCATTGCCATTTGAGCCCACAGCTTGCAGTTTCCTCAGCCGCTCTATGACACCTCATGCCCCTAATGAAGTAGTTTGGAGTTGTTGTTTTTTGTTTGTTTGTTTTACAATCAAGCAAAAGCCCTAAGACTCTGCTAGTTTCCCATAAAATAACAGTCCCTTAATATAGCAAGGTGGTTAGTGCACCATAGTATTTCATCACCAGGTGGGAATGAGCCACACCTGTGATTGGATCTTTCACTCCTTTGAGCAGATCTCATTATCATTTGCACTCTGCATAGTAGTGTGACACAACCACATTCCACACTGAATGGTCTTTAAGTCTCACTTCTCCTTTTTCTTCTGTATATAGATACCTGAACACTGTAATGAAATGGGCTCTGGCCCATGCAGTCTAATTGCTAGTCTTTAATGAGCCACTTTAATCTTTGGCTTTTTGCTAGAGCAAGCGCTAAAAGCATCGTAAACAAAGCAGAAGACATACAGCGCATCTTCTGCTGCACACAGCCTTCCCTAGGTGGTGCCCTCCAATTTTATTTTTTATTTTGGAATAGAGGTGTCATCATCCCTGATCATTTGTCAGGCTGGCTAACATCTGGAAGGCACTGGATTAGCTACCTCTGGCTGAAGAGCTTTGCAGGCTGATAGCAGCTAGCCTGAATGTAGACTAGGCCGTGTCCAGAGTGGAATCAAATGATTGGGGTTTTTTTTCTATTGCCTTCCACTCCATTTTTTAATGGAGATCCATGTAGTTCTTCTTGCTTTGGTAGTTCAATACCCAAAAGCAGAACTGCAGACTACATGATGCTGAACATGCTACAAGCTGGGAAGCTTCATTTCTACTGCAAGCTGACTGCAAAAACCGAATAAACATTTTGCTGCATCTAACACCTTTTCACAGAACAAAATAGCTCTGTACAAAAACTTGGTCTGAATCAGGTTCATCCAGCTTGCAAACTTTTCTTTTTGATGGAGGCGGGTATGGATGGCAGAAGCCTGCCATTCCTCTTCCCTTTACACAGTGCTGGTGGTAGCAGTACTAATAGTAGCAGCAGCAACAACTACATCATCTGTCAGGAGACTACGTAAAAAAGGTAATACAGTAGTTTATCTTATTTATAAAAGTACTTAAATAGCGCCATTCATTAAACAATATCAGAGCAGTTTTCAGGAGTCATACAGAAAAAACATACAATAAAAACCATATAAAACTGTTAAAATCAGAAATCACCTAACTATGAGGGGAAGATCTTATTTTTTTTAATTGGCTGCATAAGCCTGACAGAATAGAAATGTTTTCAGCAGGTGTTTAAAAATGGAAAGAGAATAATGGTAGTATTAATATCAGTAATAATTATAATTAATTTATTTAGGACATTTAAAGGTAAAGGGACCCCTGACCATTAGGTCCAGTCGCAAACGACTCTGGGGTTGCGGCGCTCATCTCGCTTTACTGGCTGAGGGAGCTGGCGTACAGCTTCCGGGTCATGTGGCCAGCATGACTAAGCCACTTCTGGTGAACCGAGCTCTAAATAATGTATTATCTCTCAGCAATCTTTAAAATAAACCTGTATGGTTGATCTGCATAGTATATACTGCAGATGCAGAGAGGAAGCTATAGAAAACGATGGGTTGCCCCTAACCATAGCTGCAGTGAGGCTGGAACTTTGGATTCTCACACTCTTACAGCTGACTCTTCTATGGCTCTTTCCCCTAATACTTTTAAAGATTTATTATCAGGTGATGCAGCTACAGGTGGATTCAGAATGAGCAGAGCTTGGGGGGTGGGGAGAGAGAAAGGGAATGTTACACCCCTTCTTTTATATCCATTTCTCTGCTGAACTTAGTTGCCTTTCTTTCCAAGGTGCCCTTCTTCCCAAGGTTTCATCTCTCAGAATGAAAAGCAGCTGTGGAATCATTAACCCACCACCTCATCAGTCTGAGGCTACTTGCAGTTACTTTAGCTGATGGATGAAGATGGCGGGCAGAGGAAAGGACTACAGTGGTACCTCGGTTTAAGAACAGCCCTGTTTACAAACAATTCGGTTTATGAACTCCACAAAACCGGAAGTAGTGTCCCGGTTTGCGAACTTTACCTCAGTTTAAGAACGGAATCCAAATGGTGGAACGGCACCGGCGGCGGGAGGCCTCATTAGGGAAAGTGCACCTCGGTTTAAGAACAGTTTCAGTTTAAGAATGGACTTCCGGAATGGATGAAGTTCATAAACCAAGGTACCACTGTACCTTGTAGTTCTGATTTCAGCCACTTGTAGTTCTGATTTCAGCCACTGTGCTCCACCAGCTCCCATTGTTTTACTCAGCCTAATACCTGGGCAGCCTGGTCATGGCACAGTAATCGCTTATTATGTATCTGCCCAGTAAGATGTTATAGTTAGGGCTGGCTGTGTGGTTCCATCAAGAGAGAATGGCTTTGTTGTGCACATATGAAAAACACTTGCTTTGCGCCTGAGGGTTTAGAAAGTGAAACCCTAAAAGTGGGAGCTGCTAAGCTGAACTAGGGTTGCCATTTTTAAAGCTTGGGTCAGGCCAGTGTCGTACCCTGCACAACATCAAGTTGTGGAGATCATGTGACCAAGCAGGACTCTCATTCAAAAATATATTTCTGTCCCCATCCTATTTTGTGCACTGCCAGTCCCAGTTGTTATGCTGAAAGATAAAGCCGTTCCTTTATCTTCCACTTGTATTTCCCCACAACCTCAGGCTGGACCTTTCACCCTGCTGCAAGGAAAACAAAAGCTGCTTATACAGTCTTGAAAAAGGAGGAGGAGGAGGAGATAAAGAAAAGAAAAGGAGTTTCCAGACACATGAAAAGTTTCCATTCTGCTAAGTTACTAGATACATGGAGAATAAGTTGCTACAAATTAAATAGTAAATCACAGAATTCTAGTCTGCATTATAATTATCTTATTAAATTGTTTTGATGTCAATATGTATGTGTTTTTAACCTATTAACACTTTGAAGACCCTTGGGCAGAAAAGCCACCAAAAATAATATATATTCATTATAGTGTGTGTGTGTGTGTGTGTGCATATGTTGGTCATTTTGTGTTTTTTTTTGTTTTTTAAATAATATTTATTAATTTTCCAACCGTTTAAACACAACAAAGCAGAAGAGAGGAAAAAAACATAAGACTAACAAAATAAAACACAAACCATTTAAAACACAAAACAATTTCAATATCTTATCTTTCATTCCCTTATTTCCATGACCTCCTCACACCTCCCTTTTTGTATTCCACTTCTGTTAATTGTTTCAGCAATTCCTTTCCATCTTCCTCTCTTTTCTATCCTATAATAATCTTAACATATTCTAACCTTATTTTTCCCTTTAATACTCTATTAATCTATTTATACTTGATTCCTTATAGCATTTCTACTAGAGCCATATAACTTCATTCCAACATTTTTCTAACATTCATTATTTTTACAGTATTTCTATAAATAGTCTTAAACTTTTTCCAGTCTTCTTCCACCGACTCTTCTCCCTGGTCTCGGATTTCTGCCAGTCGTTTCCGCCAATTCCATATAGTCCATCAACTTCATCTGCCATTCTTCCCGAATAGATAAGTCTTGCGTCTTCCAGTACTTCACAATGAGTATTCTTGCTGCTATTGTTGCATACGTGAAAAAAGTTCTATCCTTCTTTAACACCAATTGGCCGACCATGCCCAGGAGAAAGGCCTCTGGTTTCTTCAAAAGGGTATATTTAAATACCTTTTCATTTCGTTATGAATCATCTCCCAAAGTGTCTTAATCCTTGGGCATGTCCACCAAAGGTGAACTCTGATCCTCAAATTCGTCTGTTTTTCTTTAAGTTCAGTCATAGCAAGCGTCAACTTATGTTCATCAAATTGCCTCTGTAGGGCTGGGGCTCTCTCTCTCTTTCTCTCCAGTTGTGTTACTTTACATTCAGGAACAACAGCTTTTTCCCTGGCTTCCTCCGCAGTTTGCCGTATCAAAGTAGGTTCCTGTATCAATTTCTGGGTGGTTTCTGTATTGGTATTATTTATACTTTCTGTATTTAGGTTAATTTTAGTAATTGAAACATCCACTTTCGCATTTATCGTGTCCATTTTCCTGTTAAGCTGATCCAATGAGTCATTTATCTTATATAATGCAGCCACTAAAGCCTCTTCTGTCGACATTCCTCTTGGTTTTAAATATACTGGTACAAAGGCAGCAACAGAAGGAGCAGGGGGGCCTGATGATGGACCTCTCCTGGATTGTTGCCAAGTCCTCCCAGACCTTAATGTTTTGTCAGCAGTTGACTGGTCTGTTTTTCCTCTTCCATTTACCATAACACTTAAAAGATTCAAGGTCAGTCCCAGAGTCTCACGGTTTTTAACTTGCAGCTGGAAATTCCCCTAGCCCAGCTCTTATAAAGAAACTGGTTTCAAAGGCTTCCACTAGGGGAAAACAGTTTCTATTTGTAATAGTCAATAGTATCCTCTTTTAAACAATCCAAAATTAGTTTCAAATTAGTTTCAATTTTCAGTTACTTTTACTCCTTTTTAAAGCAGCCGGAGACAGTAGAAACAATGTATTTCTCTTGTTTAACTAGCTGTCAATGAACGTTCTAAACGCTGTCAATGAACATTCCAAAAGATGTCAGTCCTGCTAGCAGCCCGTTTCCAGGGTCAGAGCGGCGGTTTTAAATCTCTTCGCTCTCTCCCACAGGCATACTCAATCTGCAACTTCCCCCTCTCTTCTCCTGCCTCCAAGAGGGGTTTAATGTTCTTTAATGATGGAAATTTAATCTTTTACAAAAGGCTTTCCAGGACTCCAGCTTGCAACTTCATTGCCTCAGTCTATTTACAAAAGGGGAAGGCGGACTTCCTGTTTTGAACCTCCCCGTTACGGTACCAAATTAAACATTTAGAAATCCAATTCTTCCGCTTCAGCTCTACTCACGGGTAATTACTTTAAAATCAAATTGTCCACAGGTCAGCGCTCTCCAGCAACAGCTATGCGGCTTCGCTCCGTGGAAGAAGCAGACGATTCGATGCACTGCGCCGCTCACCCCACGTTGCTCCAGAGCCCCAAAAACCGGGGTCCCCGCGTGTGGGGGAGGCGCAAAAGGTCCCGCCGAATCCCACGCTCACAGGCTTCTCCCGCCTGTGATTTTAACGGGTCTCCGCCTTCGCCGTGGCGGCCAGACCCAGATTCCCACGGAGCAGATTCCTCCCGGTCAGAGTAATTCCGCCATTACCGGAGGCACCTCCCCGGAAGTCCATATGTTGGTCATTTTGAGTCAAGGCTCATCTGAGTCCATTTTGTTCCCCCATTCACTAGTTCAAAGTTTAAACATAGTTATAACTTCTGTTTTGTTTTGACAGAAGTGGATGAAATTTGTGGGCACATGAGTTCCTGAAGAATGGATAAAGCCTGTGAAATTATGTGCAACTAAAAGGACCAGGAGCTATTGTGCTGAGTCCTTTTTAATTATTATTTTTAAATAAACATCTAAAAATATGTTTTGGGGGTTGGATTACATTTGCAGACAAGGTGATCCCTTCCTAGGGTTTAAAGCCTGCTAAATTTCAGAAGGATGGCTGCAGTGGTTTCCCCACAAGGGTCACTGTTATATAGTTTTTGGGTGGGTAAAAAAAAAGGACCACTTAATATTCCCTAGTGCTTGGAGGACAATTGGTCTGAAAATAGCAGACTTAAGAGATATGCCCTTGGGAAAGAACCCTGCCAAATTGTAGACAAATAAGTCTAGGACTTATTTTGCTAGTCACATTTAAAGTTGATTGGGGGCAGGGGGGAGAACTTAATCTTCACCTTGATCAAATCATTTAAATAGAGCCAAAAAATACTTCACATTTGTGAACATTATGTGCTCTATTTAATGAATGATTTCCCCTTCCTTCCTTCCTTCCTTCCTTCCTTCCTTGATGGTTAGTTTTGACATAGCTACACAGTCATATACTTTGTCTTCATGATCTTCAATAGTAAGGATTGCTGTTGTCCCCCCATTTTGGCATAACAAATTATAGCCGTTACTACAATGTGCACAAAACAGGCAAATCTCTTGCATTACTTAATAATGGAAAATTTATATCCCACTTGCTATGTGTTGTTAACATTATGTTATCCCTTACCTTTGCCCAGGTATTCTCTTGTTTCCAGATAAGTCCACCACGTATGAAAATGAACTCTATCTTCCTTTTGACATTTCCAACATTTCTTGCTAACTATACTTCATAGGTTACATGATTTCACTGCTGCTGTTTGCCAATACATCATCAGCCCAACACAGTGGTCTTGATAACTTGCAAAAAGTGAGCAGCTTATTTGCTCTTTTCCTGAAGTATTCCCAGACATCAATGTTTTAGTACATTTAGTACATTTACGGTAGTACATTCCTAAATCTTCATTTTATCATCACTTTAACACAGTATAACACGGTTTATCATTTTAATTTAGGCTTATTTTCCATATTTTAAAATATCCTAAGGCAGGTCCAAAATTGAACTCTTCTCCATATATTACTGTACATACATACGATTTATCAGGACACATTGTCTGACTATATGGATCTTATATGTTTATTAAACTATCAAAAAGTTAGATTCAGAATATTTCTACTTATTCTTATTACCCATCCACATGATCCAAAGAAATCCACTTGAAATCCACTTTTGTATTAACCTATAAGGTGCCACAAGACTCTTTGTGGTTTTTGTTGCAACAGACTAACATGGCTACATCATATCACTGGACGTTGTTAGGTAGGACTTGCAGTTCTTGAGAGAGCATATCACGCAGGGCAACACACTTCCCTCTTTCTCTCAGACTACAAGACCAAGGCCTTGTGCTGACAGATCACGGTTTATAACTTTGCTTGTTCTCGTCTAACCCTGCTTCTGATTGGCTTTGACAGATTTCACAAGTTCTGGATACTCTAAGGGGAAATAGGGATATAAACATCTTAACTGTGATAATCCTCAACATTTTAACCTGATTTCCACTCACCCCTGATCGTAATCCCCTTGCAGCCCCTGTGGACCTCTAGCCCTGGGTAGAATGTCCCCTCCTCTCATCAATGCCTGGATGCTGACTCAAAGCTATATTACCCCTATTTGTGGAAGTATCACTTAGCTGTCAGAGTTAAAAGTTGTTGATAAGACATCTCCTCTGGGAATTTTCTTACCCATTTTAAAGCTAGTAGCCAATACCACATTTTGTAGTCAATTTCCTAAGACATGCATCATGTGAACAAGTGCTACCTTTTGTTGGTCCTGAACTTAATGTCAGTCGAATCCAAGTTATTGTATCAGTATAAAGCAAACTTGTGTGGGAAATTGTTAAGTTATTCATAATTTTACACAGCTTTATAAATAAATCCTTGCTTCAAACCAGGGATGGGGAGCCTCTGCCTGCCTATATGTTGTTGCACTCTAAAGCCCATCAGTCCCAGCCAGCAGAGTCTATGGTTAGGAATAATGGGAGCTGCAGTCCAGCAACATCTGGAGGGCTATAGTGTTCCTTTGCTGCCCTAAACTAAAAAGCTTTAGATCACTTTAGCCTTCACTAATAAGGAAGTTGCTCCAAAATCTCTATAAACCTGCCATTTTATTGCCAATCCCTTTCTGAATTAATCCCAGAATTGGGCTTGTCTTTTTGCTGCAGCTGTCATTCTCAATGAGCTTTCCACCGCTCGCCCAATATCTCTCCTCTCTCAGTAAATCCAGAACAGCAAACACTAAAAATACTTTGATCAACTTTGCTTATGACAACGTGTCATTGCACATAATATAGAAGTCCATTTTACCCAATGCAGAGAAGCTTCTGTTGTAATCTTGTTTGTTTTATAAATGCAACGTATTGTCCCTTCAATAGCAACAACAAAAAAGTCTTCAGACTGTGATGCTCTTTTTAAGACTATGTTATCTAGTGTTGTATCATTTTGTAACTCCCTCATTCACCTGCATTTCCCACAATTATCCCTGGCTACCTGTAATCTTAGGTCATCCACGAGTTGTGAAAGATTTTGTAGCAAATTGCTCGTCATGGGAAAAATTATTTCATTTTAACAGATTAATGCCTATTTTTACATCACTTTCATAAACTTTTTTCTTTTGACCTGCAAGATAAGTACAACTGATATTTAAAAATAAACAAAATGGGAGAATATGAATTTAATTAGACTTCTAATTAAGTTGCTGTGCGATTCCTAACCCTGTTCATTACAAGGAAGGCTCTGAAATCACCAAGCACCTCAAATTATGACAGACACTTTTAAAAACGCAAAATCTTGACTTTTAAATTAGCTTTAAATTTCCTTCTAGATTTTAGGTAGTTGGACTTGATGACCCTTGAGATACCTTCCAACTCTACAGTTCTATGATTCTATTATATCCTCCCTTATAAAACCAAGATCTAGCTAAGATTTTTAGAAAAGACATTTACTTATTGTTTTCTGCAGAGATCATGCTAAAATCTTAGGGTACACTGTATAGTTTTCTATCGCTTGGCAATTATAATCATTTTGCACAGCCCAGTCAAATATTGGAATCCTACCCAGAGAGTTCAATTGTTTTAAAGCAAAGAGTTAAAGTATGTGTTTAACACACTCTCAAAATAATTGAAATGGAAATTCTGGATTAGAAAACACTGTGGAAATTGCCTTGTATTATTTCACAATGTTCCTTTATAATATCTAATTACTAAATTTGTATAAGCCACCCATTAACATTTGTTCTCTCAGTGGCTTACAGAATAAATTACAATATTAAATATAAATTACAATAGTTAAAATTAAACAACAGAAACAATAAAAGCTGCCCTTTCTAGTAGAAGATAAATAAAACCACTTAAATTATAAGATACAACTCAAACCCTCTGGGGTGGTACCACTGAGCAGGCCTCTGAAGAGGACCCAAGGCATAAGCAGAAGGTGGCAGTCATATAACTGCATTGACGGTCTTCCTTTTTTAGAGTATATCAACTATCTAAACAGAGGTACTGAAAAACTTTAATAAAAACATGGGGTTTTAAAACAATCCCCATTTCAATGGAAGTATCTCTATTGTACAGAAGGCAAACAAGCACTTAGGTTTGCTTTTTCAGATTTTTCTGTATCTGTTAAACTGTGAGCCAAACCTGAAAGAAGTGCTTTCAGAGGAGATCCAAATGACACCTGTAATAGACAGGTCTCTTAATCAATTGACCACTTTGCCACGGTGTGTGTACAACTGGGAATGCTATGTACAGATAGATAGAGAAAACGTCACAGTGTAGCAAAAAACATTATGTTCTTTACCATTTCTCCGGCCTCAACACACACAGAGAGATAGGCCCTTCCCTAAGTAGATTTTGTGCACTACTTGAGTGTTTATTGTTTATGAGACAGATTAATTTGAATTAGGAGCACAGATACTATTAAATTTTTTTGCTAGGGGTTAAAGTTGTGTTGCCAATCAGGTCTTTAAATGACCGAGAATCTACAATCTCATGGGGCTGAGCTACTCCTAGGAGTGCAACAATTAGCTGGAGACTCATTAATCTTCAGAGGGGTAGCCCGCTAGTCTGCTTCAACAGAAATACCAAAGAGTTTTGTGGCTAACAAATTTATTACAG